GAAACTCCAGGAAGCAGGAAGGTGCTGGTGGGGGCTGGCTGCTGCCACAGACTGGCTAGTCCCTGTAGTGAAGGACGAGGTAGAGGGTGAAGGGGGTATTGGAAGGCACAGGGCAAGATGCAGGGATATTTGTAACCATGGAATAGGGGCTCTCCAGAGGGAATGGGGGGAGCTGGGGTGGTTAGCTGAGTTTTATGACATGCACATACTGGGTAAACCTTGTGTACATAGCATCTTGGCTTCAGAGCTGGCCATGGAGACCCCTGTTCACAATGCTGGCTCTGCCTTTTGCTGCCTGGGCAACACTGAGCAAGTTTAGTGTTCTATCATCTCTTTTGGAAAATGTGACTATTAATAAAACCTACATTGCAGGACCATGGAGAGAATGGGAGAAGCCAACCCAAGGCACTCAGCATAGTACATGTGCTTAGTAAAGAACCAAACCAAACAAAAAGACGCACTTCTCACCCAGCCCTGGGGGACCCAGTGGCAGGAGCCATGTCTCCCAAGGCTCTGCCAAGGATGACTGCCAAAAAACTGTGTCTCTTGCCTGCAATGGCAGGTCCTTGTCCTGCCTCCCGCCCTTCTTATGTAAGAGCCACACAGGTGGGCAGCTGGGTCCCTTGCCATGTAGGTCAGAGGTATCTGGGGCCACACCTCGACTGCAGCCCTAAGGCAGGCTGGGGCGGGTCCCCACTCATGCCCAACCCCACTGCCTCATCACCCGGAACCTAGGGCACCCACAGCCTCTGGCTCCCATACTCAGCATGCTTTAGCTGAGGGAGCAGAAGGGATGCTGAGCCCTGTGCCTGCCAGGTGCAAGAAGGAGGAAGGTGAGCACCCTGGGGCAGCCAGACCCCCAGGCACACCCTCTACCGTGAGTCCTCTATGGGGGTCCTCAGGCTGGGAATTGGGAATTAGGAGAGAGCTGCCAGAGGCCCGATCTTTGAGGTGAGGCAGTCCATGCAGACTAAAGAGAAGCAGGGGACGCGGAGTCCGCCACACAGGGTGATGGGGAAGCCAGCGTGAATCGCCATTGCAGACTATATTGTTGCTATTGGGAGCACCAGGCTGTTCACAGGCCTGTGTGACTAGCACTATGGGGTTTGGAGGAGGTGTTGTTCTGGGGTTGTTAGGATATGGGGAACTAGTTAGGCAACACCTTCCATGGAGAACATTCTCCAGCCATTGGGGAGTCAGTTCTGCTTTGCCCACCGAGCAGAGAGGTGAGAACTACCAGAAGTGACAGGAAGGCTGGTGAATGGTAGCCAGAAGTCTCTGCAAAGAGACTCCAGGAGTCCTGGAGATTTTAGCTATTTGTTAATTAGTTGGCCATGGGGAATGGAGACCACATCCCCAAGGCAGCCACCTGCTACAAGGTTTTCTCCTTTGAATCTGAAGGTGTGGGCTTACGAGGCCAGGCTGTAAATTACAGCCAGGTGTCCCACCCCAGGAGCAGATGAGTCATGGCCAGGAAAGAGGGCAGCTGTCCCCTCGCCTAGCCAGGCTGCCAGCAGTGACTCACGCTGTATCTCTGTTGCAGGGCGGTCCGGTGGAGCTGGGCCTCTCTGGGGCTGCTGTGGCTCTCCCGGGGGGACTCCGTGACACGTTCTCTGAGGTTCTGGCTCTCTCCTGGGCGAGCTCACAGATTGCAGCCACCCCCCAGGCACCATGCCAGAGGTGTTCCTGCTCAGGTCTGCCAGCTCCATTATGAGGACCGTGTAAGGAACAAGGAGCCCACCTTCCCCCGCCTCCCGGCCCCCAGCCAGTCTCCCAGCGAAAGTAGTTGGCACGGAACCTGGACCCCCAGACTTGGGTTTAGGGTTTTTTCATTCTGTCGGTCACCCTCTCAATCTTGCCAAGTTATCTTTTTCTTCTTGTGCCCCCAAAGGTCCATGAAAGCTCATGAGTAATAATGATGAGAGCTGACTACGTACTAAGCACTTCTTATATATCACCTTCTTGCAATAGCCACAGGATATGGGCAGAAAACCGAGGGCCAGAGAGGATCCGTGACTCGGCCACACAGCTAGTAAAGTGAGTTGTGCCCGAGTAGGCAGACAGACTGGTGAACTTTGATGCTATCCTGTTTCAAGAAAGCATTCATTGAGCACCTACTTCATACACAACAGTGGCCTGGCTGCTAAAGGCTGAGCGAGAAGAAAGGGCAACAGAAATAAATAGGAAACGGATCCTCATCCATGAAGTGTTCACATGGGAAATGAGGGCCCTCCTCAATTTATGTGTCTCACACATAGCGACAACTTGAGAAGGTTTAGGTCCAACCAATATGTGCTGAGCTCCAACAGTGAGTACTCATGGCCAGAGGACAGAGCTGAATCAGAAGTGGCCCCAGCTCTCAAGCCATGTGTGACCGTCGAAACTCAAACCTGAGTGTCCAAGGTCCATAGGGGTGAGAGGGTGTTAGGGAAATCTCGGAGGGCTTCCTGGAAGAGGAGCTGAAGGAGGCTTGGGAGGCTCTGTGTGCAAATGGTTCCCATCAGCTCCTCTGGCAAGGTAGGAGTAAGGAGACACCAATCCACCAAGAGATGGTTAAGAGAAAGGCACAGTGCAGACGCTCCCAGGTTCTTCTGCCCCCCACACACATCTTACATCATATTTGCTCAAACACGCCCTTTGTTTTCTTGTTCCCATGCTGCTGGGTAGGTGCTCATAAAGTGTTTTTGTTTTCTGTGAAAGAAAGGAGAGCAAGGCAATGAGCTTAAAGTGTGCTTATGTGAGCTGAGGTCAGAGAATGAATCCTTGTTCTCATCCGGGTGAAAGAGGGCCACCCTTGTGGGCTCTTCTTCCTCTTGGAGATTCAAAATGCAAACAGAAGCCAGTCAGCCTCCTCAGGCCATTCTCCCACCATTATTGTCATTCAATCATGTTAGGTGACTTTTGCCAACCTCTGGAGTACTGCCTTCCAGAAGGAGCATAATTTTCCAGAATGACAGGAATAATATGTTAATCACCTTCGGCATGCTTATGATGATCATGATGACAGTAATATCAACTCACCTGTAGAATCATTTATGGCCACCTGTCATTCCTAGAATAGCAGCAAGAATTAGGAGTAGGGCCCAAAATGTTTTTGAGGAGTCAAGATAGAGTAGGGGCAGATCCCCAAACCTCAGCTTCTTTTCTTCAAGGAAAACGTGATAGGTTCCATTGTGGAACATGTCCCCCGATATAACCTACAGTTCTAATGAGCTTGGCTGTTTTCTATTCTGCTACAAAAAGAAATGGCAATGTAGGAGTGAGATGAATTGCTAGAAGCCAGCATACTGAAAGTAGCAAGAAGTGACTGCTAGTCACAGAGGAGAGGATGAAAAACTAAAAAATGGCCGAGCATGGTGGCTCGCGCCTGTAATCCCAGTATTTTAGGAAGCCAAGGCGGGAGGATTGCTTGAGCCCAGGAGTTGGAGACCAGCCTTGGCAACATAACAAGACCCTGTCTCTACAAAAAATACAAAAATTAGCCAGGTTTGGTGGTGCGGGCCTGTAGTCCCAGCTACTCAGGAAACTGAGATGAGAGGACTGCTTGAGCCTAGGAGTTTGAGGTTGCAGTGAGTGGTGACTGTGCCCCTGCACTCCAGCCTGGGCAACAGAGCAAGACCCTGTCTGCAAAATATAAATAAATACATATATACAAAACAAAAACTGAAAGACGACCATTACCAACAACAACGAGGGTGAGACAGCAGTCACAATGAGGAGAGGCGGATGGCCTGAGCAGTTTCACTTGTTTCTGTGTGGCAGGTCAGGTCAGGAAAGCCTGTTACTGGTTATAACCCTGAGTGAGCAGGAAGTTACTGGAGGTTTAGCATATTCTATTGTGGATGACATCTCCTCAAAGGGACTACCTCTCAAGGCCCCCATTAAGGAAAAGATCAGGCTTAATTCATTTGGAAAATTAGGTTTTGACATTCTCTTAATCATGTGCCCCAAATTCTGTAAGCATAGGGCATAGAGAGTTGAATCAGTGCCTTGGACCAGCCACAGGGATAAGCAAGATGTTCTTGTTAAACTGATACGGGCAGAGGGCCAGGGTCCACCCTCTCATTGACCATGGCTGCTGGACAAGATCAGTGTCTGAGCAACAAGAAATTTGACACTGCACTGGGTGCTGGCCCTCCAGGAAAAGGCACCCACTCACAGCAAGAAGGTGCTGCCAACAGCCTCAACCTCCCTATAAACAGAAGGTTCTAATCACAATAAGTCCGCTTAACCCTTGACTTCCTTCGGTGGCTGTCTTTTCATTTAGTCTTTGTGTAGCTATTTTAAAACCAGAACCAGTTTACACTAATTTTCTGTGGGGAGAGAAGTGCTGCTCATACCTTTTGATTAGGAGGATTTAAAAACAGGTTTGTTTGTGAGGAAGCAGTTCAGATGGTGGGACATTACAGCCAAGGACAGCCTCCTGCCTGGCTGATGTGGAGGTGGCTGCCCAGCTGGTGATCTCAGAGGCTAATTAGAGCTGCTAACTCTAACCTGGGGTGCTATCCACCGTCTTCTGAGGACACAGGCCGAGATGGGGCAGGGACATCAACCAAGTTCACAGTCTTCCCCAGATGATCACAGTGTGGGCCCCTGAGCCTAGCAGTGTACGTGTCCCTCGTTTGCCTGAACCCAGAGCTCAGGGGCCGTTTGGTAACATTGCAGCCCAAAGTGGAGGCAGCTTCTATCTGGCTATCCCAGAGAGCTGTAACCAAGGATCCAAAGTCAGGAGGACGAGTTCTGCAGCATTCAGGCGCCTCTGTCTGCCCGGCACAGGAGACCTCGCCCCAGAAGCACGCGTTGCCATCTCTTCAGTTTTTCCACAACCTCCCTGGAGCGGGTCGCCATAGCAATGGAAGGGCTGCTCCAGCCCTGTGGCCCAGGCCTTGCTCACAAATATCCCAAGAGCGGCGCCACCTCGGTTCCCCAATCATCCCCTTTCTCCCCATTGCCCTCCCTTCCTAACCTTCTGATATCTTTCACTTTAAAACCTATCTCAGGTTCTTAAACAGACTGCTGCCAGGTGGGCCTGGGTGTGTTCACAAACTTAGTTTTGTTCGGAACCTGCAGTGCCGACAAGGAGTAAGGCTGAATGTGAGAAGCAGGTAATTGGCCCAGCTTCCTGGGAACTGGGCAGGTACGGGGCTGGCCCCACCCTGACTGACAGACAGACAGGACTCCCTGGAGCCAGGGTCCTTCCCTCAGGGACACCATGACCAGCTGCACAGGTTGCATGCTGCACAACTCCAGTGGATTCTGTTTACATATTTGTTGACTGTGAAATATGTCTCTGGAGTTGTGTAATCTTGCTGCAGTCCTGAAGTGTGTACTGAAATCCATCTGCTCAGCCATGTAGGAGGTTGAGGTCTGGCCAGGTGAGCCCTGAGGAAAAATGATGCTGAAGGGCAGTCAGGCTGAAATGATAATGAAAGCCCGGAAACCCATGAAACTCGGGCTGGCCAGAAGGTTAGACCCTTTAGCCAGGGTCACTGAGCCTGGGAGGCAAAGGGGATCTGGGTCAGGGGTGAAGGTACAAATCCCTGGGCCTCAGGTCTCCCTGGACCTGTTCCTGTCTTCTCCATGGAAGAGGGGAGGCCCTCACTGGGGGCCGGAATAGGGACCCCTGAGAGCACTATGAGCACCTGCAGCCCCACTCAGATTTTTTGGCCATGGGTGGGGACTGGTGGGTCCAGGGAGTGACAGGTGGGGGCAGCCCCACCCCAAAAGTCTGCCCTCTCCAGGACTGGTGTTCAGAATCCTCCAGCGCAGACCTCAGCCCCTTCCTCAACCAGATGGGGGCGCTGAGACCCTGAGAGAGGCATAAACTTGCCCAGGGTCACACCAGGAAGTAGAGCACAGAAGGCCTTGAATTCCCTTTCTCCCGAACCCTCAGAGCCTACAGGGAGGCTGGGTGGGGGCAGGGTTAGCCCCTACAACCACTGGGGTCTTGTCCCCTGACCCACTGGGGTCTCCTCTGTGGATGGCCCCAGCATTTGTGGGAGACAGAGGTGCCAGTGTCCCCCTGGGTGTGCTGAGATGTGTGCCAGGCCAGAGTCCCTGAGCCCAGGCCAGTCCCCCACGTTCTAATGAATGTTTTTCCTGGTCCCCTCACCACCCCAGCTCACTGACTGACAGGCAGCCACTCTCCAAAGAGTCCCTGAACCATGCTCTCAAGCTCTCAGTGCCAGAGAAGGTGAACAATGCCCAGTGGGATGCTCCAGGTAAGCCAGCTGGGGGTTGCCGGGCGGGGCAGGGCGGGAAACTGCACTGTGCTGGGTATGTTGGAGGGGTGGGTGGTGTGGGGGACCACCACACAGAACCGTGGGAAGGGGCAGCTGGGGATCTTGCTGGTCTCCACGCTCCCAGGGACTCCACCAAGCCCCTTCCTTCATGGCCACCATCAGGGCCAGGCGTGATGGAAAGGAATGGGGGTGGGGGGTGGGGAGATTTCTTCTTCAAGAAAGTTGGGAAGAAGAGAGGCCAGAGATGGAGACGGGTAGGACATCATCTGGGGCCAGGCCTTGGGAACTTGGATCTCTAGCACAGGGTTGCTGAGGGACAGGAGAAAGCCCAGATAAGCAATGCCTTGGGATTTTTGGCCTGGTTAACTGGGGCAAGGGGCAGGCCGACAGGTGCAGACTAGAAAGGTTTGTTTTGGAGGCTTGAAACATTACATATTATTTTCTTGATCTTCACCATCAAATAATTGTGCTTTAAGGAAGGCAGAGTTATTTACTCTGACTCTGAAGAGTCATCAAAATGATAACAATAATACAGCTTTTGTGCACTTTTATTGGCTGCACAACAACATTGTGACAACAACAGAAATTTAAAAACAAAAAGAAAACAATAGGTACCCAGCACAGAGGGTCAGTGCCGCCGGGTCAGCTGCCCCTCTCCCAGGCCGAGTGTCTTGGGTGGCTTTGGCAGGGATCTGGCCTGAACTGTGGGGGTGGGTGTTTCCTCTCATGCCCCCCACCCTCGCCTCAGAGATAAAGGAGAAGGGACTGGGCCAAGAAGAGGATCAACTGGTTTCTGAGAATGGTTTGAAAGACACCGGGGAGAGGCCAGGAACAGGGCCAGCTGGGTCCAGGGAGCCTCCCACGCTCATCCTCCCAGGATTCCAAGGCATCTCGCTGACTTGCTGAGCCACGTGGAGCAGGTCCCACCAGCTCGCTTAGGCTCAGACACCCCAGACTTTATAATCCCTTCTCTGGGGTGCTCAAAGAGCAGGTGTTGGCACCAGGGGCCTGGGCCACAGAAAAACCCTGGAGCTCAGCAAGTCCTGAGCATGAGTGATGGCACTGGCATTCCTGCAATTCAAGGGGCAGGAAGAGAGCCAGCGTGGGGGAGGCTCCGTGTCCCTTGGAGCCCCAGAAAAGCATCTGGCATCCCCAGGGAGAAACACATAATCCCCAGCCCTGTGGGCCTCAATGCCTTCATCTGAATGGCTATCGTCTGACAGCCTTGCAGCAGCAGACACGCAGCATGGGCAGGTTTTAAACAAGCAGGGAGGGAGTCCCAGAGAGGGTGCCTTCAGACAGGGCTGGAGTAGAGGCATCTGAGCAGCCAGAGGCCAGGTGGGGGGCAGGGAGAAGGCCCTGAGTTTAATGGCGAGGCAGGGCCTGGGTGGGCAACTGCAGGGGAGGCGACAAGGCCATCACGATCTAGTGTATCAGGAATTTGGGAAGCTGACAGGGACGGCCAAGGTAGACATGCCCCAGGATCCTCCATCCTGTGTGCTGGGCTGTGAGGGAGACTGAGATGGACAATCTTCTTTCCTGCCCTCAAAGAACCCCCAGTCTGAGGGCAGACAGGTCCTCTGTAAAGGGCAGGGACAGGCTGAGGAAGGAGGGCTGCTCTCTGGGAGCTGTGGGGCCAAAGTGGGCCTCCTGCATTAGAAGGACCTCCAGCTGTCCTCAGAACCGCAAGCTCCCTCTAGGCCTAGAGGTCTGGACTGAGTGCTCTGCCTTTGGGAGTTCAGCTTCCAGGGCTGGTGACAAGGAGAAAGGGGCGGTTTGGGAGGGGCTAAGAAGGAACCATGGTTGTCAGCAGGCACCCAGAGCGGAGGCCACCGAGGGATCCCAGGTGCTTCCCAGGGCAGTGCTGAGCAGGCATCATGGGCTCCCACAGACCTGGCTCGGGGGCTATGCTCTGCCCAGCACCCTCTCCTGCAGCCCTGGTGTCCTTGGGGGTGGAGGAGGAGCCTTTGCGCTAGAGTGTGGATGAGTTCCAGTTTCTCATGGATGGAGTGTCCACCGCGTGCCAGGCCTGGAGCGGAGCTTGGACTCTTTCTCATTGACTCCCCAGAAGCTTGGGAGCCCTGGGCGCTAGTCTCTGTGCAAGAAGGGGGATTGGGCACAGATTGGGAGGGGTCTTGAAGCTGCCCTTTGACAAAGCACTTTTGATAAGATTGAGAAAAGGCAGTTATCCCTATCAAAGACTGTTGGGGAGGAGGGATTCGTGGGATTAGGAGAGCTGAAAGTCCTCCTTCCCCACACAGTTGTGCCCTGAATAAGAAGATCCAAGTCCTGTGCTAAGAGACTTTCTTGTATTCTTTCATTTTATCTTCATATCAGCAGCAGGGAAAGCATATGTATCATTCCCATTTGGTAGAGGAAATGGAGCTCAGAGAGGGTTAGTGATTTTCTCAGAGTCACACAACCGGTAAGAGGCGGAACTCTTAACTGGCCACACTGCCTCTTTGGGACCTAGATGGCATCACACAGTCTGGTCTTCCAGGTCTGGCCCTCCCAGGTCTGGCCAGCCCCTGCCTCCCTTCCATCTAACTGCAGCCCCTGGCAGCCCCTCTGGGGAGCTCTTGGAGTCTTGTACACAGGAATCAGGGTTCACTCTGGAGCCCTCGGAGGCTCCCAGATCTCTTTGAGCTCCCAAAAAGTTTGAAGTCCTGAGCTCTGGTCCCCAGGCTGAGCTCTGAGCTGCCCTGATGGCTGTACTCACAGGGAGCAGCTGCACAAAGTCCGGCCACAGAGACACTGGAATCTGACCTTCACACAAAGGCAGCCTTGTGCTGGGCCCTGGAGACACATTACTTTTTACTTGCTAGGCCTCTCTATATTAAGCATGAAGCCCAGCTGGAGAAGGGCAGCATCAAGACCAAAGAGAGGGAAGGGCACCCGGGGTGAGCAGTTGCTGGGGATGAAACTACTGGAGGTGCTGGCCAGGGCTGGCTCCCCACCCGCTTTCTCCCTAGGAAACTCCCACATGCACTAAGGAGATTTTGAGATTGGGAAGCTAGGTGCTCAGCCCCACTTGTCTCCAGTCCAGTGAAGCCCTTTGTGGGTCAAGGGATTTGCTGGGCCTCCCTCGGTTTGTCACTCCCACCCTTCTCAAACGTCGCAAGGGGTGGTGTTTCAGGCTGGAGCTATGAGCTAGGGAGCCGGAAAGAAGCCCGATACAACCCTTGTCCTCAAGAAGCTCACAGTTTGAGGCCGGGTAGCAGGAGGAGGCCATTGGGATAGTGGAAGGCAGAGGACCTACCTGTCCCGGCAGCCTCTGATGGGGGTGGGAGTGGGGGCCAGCAGGAAAGCTTTCCAAGGCTCAGAGGAAATGAATGCCGGTGATTCCTTCTCCGTGATATGGAAACAGGTAATCCTGGCCCTGCCAGCCGAAACGAGTGGAATCTCTGGGGGTCCTTAGAGAAACATTTTCCGCAGGGGTCAAGGCACCCACCCAGCCCCTGCCTGGACAGCCTCAGACACTGCCTGGGTGTCCCCTCCTGGGACCCTGCCATGTGGAACAGGTCTGGGGCAGGTCAGCCCAGGGCTTCTGGCTGGGATGCCCGACTTCTTGCTCAGACCTGGCTTCTCTCCAGTGGATGGAAACCCAGCCTGAAGTCTCCTGCACGTCTCCTGAGCGTGCTCACCTTTACAGGGGCAGGTAAAGCCCATCTTGGGTCCCTTACCCTGGTGGTCCAGGCCTGGACAAGTGGAATCCTAGAGGCAGGATTAAAAAGCTAAAATAATGACCATGGAGGAGCGTATAGAGAATATCTTGTCCACCCCAATTGTAATTCAGATGGGGAAACTGAGGCCCAGGGAGACCAGGGGTCTGCCCAGGGTTACTCTGCTGTGGTGGCCAGAACTCAGAGCTCTTGAATCCCCGTCGAGAAGGCTGGGAGTGGCAGCTGCAGGGACCCTCTCCCCTCGGGCACAGAGGAACTACCGAACAGCTGACAGACCCTTCTGTGATAGGTCTTGTCCTCATCTCTCTGCATGTCCTGGGCCCAATGTGGCCTCTTCCTCTTCTGTATCCCCAAGAGTGTCTTGCACTGGGCTGGCCCTCAGCTCAGGGTCCCGTGTTGGAGAGAGGGCCCCTCCTGGGGCTGGTCTCTGCCTGTCCTTTGGAGGAAGGCCTTTGGGGTCGGTGCCCTGCAGGACCATTCTCGGAGAGAGATCTGTTCTAGGTCTGAGATCCACCTCTTCCTCAGGACCAGTTATTCCTCCATCTGCACAATAAGCTACTTTCCTGCAGCCTTTCCCACAGACCACAGAAAACAGCCCCAGCCTCCTGCTCTCTCCTGTTGCGTTGTTCTCCTTCCCGGCTAATTGAGTGACTGCCTTTGCTCTTTAGACGCCTTTATTCCAGAACCCCAGAGAACACAGCTCCCTGCCTGCCCAGTGGCCCCCAGCATAAAGGGTGGATGGATAAGATACAAGCCAGGGTCAGGCCAAGACAAGTGGCAGAGGGAGGAAGGGGGAGAGGGAGAGGGAGGTGGCAGAGAGTACCAGCCTTGCCTGGGAAAGCCCACCCCCGGCTCTCAGCTGACTTGGCACTTGGTGGGCGGGCAGTGTGCTGGTGGTGCTGCCTTGGCAGCAGGCTGTGAGCTTTCTGGGGTCTCCACTGTGCTCTGGATCTAGTCATTGGTTGCCTTTTGGAGTCAGCTGCTGCTGGGATCTGGATGCCTTGCTGGGCAACAGAGACCTTGATTGTGTCCTGGCCTCATTCTTGGCTGATAGTGCAGCAGTGATCTTAGTTTGGGACAGAGCTGATAGTTGCACCCCTGTTGATGGGGCACAAAGGGGAGATGAGAACTATGTTAAGGACTGGCAATCATCCTGATTTCCTAAGTCCCTCCTACCCACAGGAAACCACCTTCAGAGAGGCAGGCTGAGAGGTGCCACAGCAGACCTGGGCCCACTCATATCCCTCCCTCATGCTTGGTTCTGAGCTGCCCAGAATGTGGCAGAGTCAGGGGACT